CAAATTAAAATTAACAAGACGCCTACTCAGGCGTTCACTCCGGGTACAGGGCCTTAACTAAGCGCAAAGCTACTTTAACGTATGCTTCTATACGGCAATGAAGGTATCTTTAATGCATGATATTTAGCATATTAAAGTTGGAAAAGTGGGAGAACAACACCACTTGACCAGGTGACTAAAAACATATGCAATGATCATAATATTTTATAGCATAATAATAAAAGGACATTGTGACACTAATTATCTCTAATAAAAGCTATCTAGTTCTTTATTAAAAGTTCTATTTAAAACATGCGTAGGAGTGTTTTTTCAAGTCGTATATAATAAGTCGGAGGCCGTATTTTACAAATATTTTATGGGTTTTTTTATTGTCGAGGGTAGAAATTCGGGGGTGAAAAGCTTGAGGGTACATTTTAATAATTTAACAAAATAATAATTTAAGTTCGTGTTCACTTACTTTACTTTTAATTTTTATTTTTATATGCAATTATTAATTTTTTATATGCGATTACTTTTTATATGACGAAATATTACTACATAAAAATAGACATGCCGATCAAAAGCGACAGTCGAGATATTTTCAAACGGCGTGGTGCATTATCTGCGTTATCTCGGATTGCATGTCGCAAGTTACTGTATCAGTCTATTCACTATATGGTCTATTGAATCAAAGTAATCAGGACTTGTTTACACCTTTCCATTGCCATACGCCTTTTCCGGGTTCGCGACGCCATCTTCAAAGTATTGTTTTCGCTATTGTGCTTGCCCCACTTGCAAATTTACCTATTGGGAATGCCCGCAAATTTCTACCCTCGACAATAAAAACCATAAAATATTTTAGAAATACGACCCCGGACTTTTTATATATGACCCTCGACTTTTTATATATGATTTTTCGACCCTCGCTTCCCACCCTCGACCCTCGAGAAGAACTCCTGAAACTGAATTACTAAAAATAGCTAACGTAAACAAACCACATTTATCAAACACGCAAAGAAAATTATTTAAAAAGTAATATATTGTTAGTCGTGTCATATAGTTAATTGTCAACACTTTTTCAATGCATGATAGTAAGTTTATAACTGGCACCAAGTTATGTTGATATTTTGTTTATACAGATTGATTGTTTTAATTTGTAAGGCTTCTGTAAGTTTGTTATTATCAAACGTTTAGATTGTTCTAGTAATGATTTTACTTTAAGACCAAGACAATGCAGCTGTCGAGACCGATTTTTAATACTCTATAAATAAAACATTAAACTGTGTAATAGAAGTAATAGTGTTGGGTAAAGCTATCTATAGTTATATATATTTTATACGCGCTTTTGTCTAATTCAAGCGTGGTAGACAATATTGCCAATATTGTTGTGGTTTGCGATATAAATTGCCTCGCGAATCGAAGACTTTCAGATATGTCATATGTCGAATAGATTTGTGCGTTGTTTGTACTTCAATTTTGGCCACGAGGCACAAATTAGGGAGACTTAAAGAACACGAGTGACGAGTGTTAACACAATTTAACTACGTACAGTGTTGACAAAATTAAAAAATACCGGGCCAACGTCAGTAACGAACCAAGCCAGTTGTCGATCAGAATTAGCTTTCCAATAACGGCAACCGCTACTAAACACGCGAGAAAGTCTCGAATTTCGATTTGTATTTATATGAACTGTGGTCATTGTATAAGAACGAGTGTATGAGAACCCCTCCATTTGATAATATTTACTGTAAATAGAACTAAATACATTGTAAACACAACGCTCGCTCCGATCTACTACGAATGG